AAAAGGCAAGACAATGTCTCTCTATTTTTCACCATTTTTGGTCAATTTTTATTTTTTTTTTAATTGGAGAGACGCACCCACAAATCTCTAATGTGGGTGCTCTGGTTGCTTAAATAGGTAAAATGTTTGCATTGGTTAGATCTTAGATCTTAGGTAAAATGTTTGGATTTTTTAGATTGGAACAAGGTTGGCATTGGAGTTGTTGTGGCCGATATGGCCGACTGTTGTGAGCTCTGATGGAAAATTTTGTTGAATTTTTCAGGTACAAAAATAACATATGTTCACTACATCCTTCGTAATTTGTAATCCGTTAGTCATACTTTTTGAATCAGTTTTCTATATTTCAGCTTGATTCAGTATGAAATTTTAAATGCTTTAACTTGATTATGAAATTACTCAAAACACACACCAAAATAGACACAAATATTCAAAATAACAAGGAAAAAACCAAAGTAGATACAAAAAAAGTTTTTTAAAAAAGTTTAAAAAGGACATATTTTTTTTTGTCATCTGAAAATTTTATTAAAACCAAGTATAATACATGGTCGAATACCGGTTATAATACAAGAGTAAACTATGAGGCAGAATACGAGAATTAAAATCTCAACATCGATAAAACATCTAAACAAAGCGACACAGATGTTCAGAAAACTAGCATACCAAACGAAAAAGACGCAAACCAAAGACGACTGATCCAGGAAGAGTTGAAAGGCGGACAACCACAGAGTCTTATTAGTCTTGAAGGAGAGATAACGGACAAATACCGAATCTATTGCTCGTGCCCCACTCTTATTTTTACTGAGATAGGGTGATACCAAAGAAAGAAGACCCGATCAAAACCTTGCCAAAAAACTCTGGTTAAGCATTGAATTTAAAACCAAAGATCAATGACCCATTGATTGTCTATAACTCTAATCTTAGGTCTCAGCCGTATCTTTAATTCTAAGAAAATTAGCAACCAAAGCAAACCTGCACAACGCTTACACAACCAAAAGCAAGAATAAACCAAAAACTTACAGATATAACCAAACAACACAACAACACCGTCAAAACCCTTAAGACCGACAATTCTATCCTTAGACAAGAAATAAGCCAAACTTGCACTATGCGAATAGGAAAGCGGAGAAAGAAGCTCGCCGAGACCAACAAAAAGCGAATCTGCAATCACCAACGAGAAGGTGAGCCGCACCACAAGCAATAATCCCTAAATCTCAATAGATCTGAGCTGAGCAAATTGGAGACCGGTTGAAGACGATGGCTACGAGCCAGATCCACCACCCAAGACCTCGAGGACATCTACCCACCCTGCACAATCCTAACCATAGCCAAAGATCTTAAATTCATACCCACTAGAAAAGACATCGAAGAAATCTAGTAACTGCCGGAAACTAAAACAAGGAGCTTAATATACACAAGCTCCAACGACGGTGCTGAGAAAACCACCGGCCGCCGGAGCCAATCTTGCCAAAAAACAAAGAGGAGAACTATAGCAGCGGAGGAGACAATGAGAGAGAGAAGGACTTTTTCGGCTCGGGACAAATTTAATTCTGTGCCGTTTAAAAGGGACATATTAGTCTAGCTTTTATGGCTTAGTTTTATTCAAGAAATGCCAAACACAAAGGAGGAATATCTTCACTTAACAATTTATTAGCTGAAAAACTCAAAACACAAAGAAACCAAAGTACGGATAAATAGCTAGAAAGATGATATATAATCAACCAAATGTTCTAAAGAACGATATGCTGAACCGTTTGGTTTAATCGATCTTCTTTCTCGGATTGCTTCTCCTTCAGTTTTCAGCAACAATCTCCTTATCGCGTTCTCGATCTCATTTCTCTCTATCCGACTCTCTAGATGCAGCCCGACCCTCCATACCTCGCTAACAAATCTTGCATTTTGCAATTGGTCCCAGAAAAACGGCAAACAGATCATTGTATGTAAAAAATCCTCCAATGGCTCGATGACTTAGAACCTCTTGTTGCGGAGCCCATTTCACAATCTTTCCCTTCTCCTTAAGCTTTTCCATGAGTTCTTCAGGTATCTCCTCGATCCATTTTGCCCCATTGACCGAACCAACCCGTACGACCCACAAGAACGGTTGGTCACTGTTTCTTAAACCCCAAGCAATCTCCAATAACTCTGATTCATTGATGGTCACCGAGCTCCCGAAACTCACGTAAATCACGGATTTGTCTTCTTGTTTGTCTAACCATGGAATGCAAGTCTCGTCCTGTGTGAACAAGCTACTAGACGATCCCGGGAAGTAGCTATGAGAAGGTCCTATCGCAAAGATGGGGACTTGAAACTCTTGACGTGCTTGGCTCAGTGAGTCTTGGTCCAACTCTTCACAGGACGACACGAATATGAGACCTGAAGACGCCTTTGTCGTTTCCAAAATCATCTTCGAGTACGAATCTAGTAACTCTGTTTCTTCATCAAGAATCCGTAAAAGATCTTTCTTTCGAAGTGGCGGAAACTCTTGAGCTGGATTGTCTTGTTCTGAATATGTGATTGAACCTAGAATGTTGATGTCAATTCATATGTGAATAAATGCTAGTTGTGATGGATAATGTTTTCATATGACTAACAAGTTTACTTATATAGTCAAGTAGTCTTATAAGACAGTTCTTAGGTAAAGTGAGAAGTACATAATACCTTGTAACGGAAGATACATTTCACGCCGGAGCTGAGGAAGAAGAAAATGGTCCCTAAAGAAGGAGACTTTATAGGTATTAAGGACCAATTTCGGGAGATTCGAACTCTTGGCTAAGGGTTGTGTGAAGATCCAACCAGAATCATCGATCAAACAGCTAATCCTCTGTTTCTGAATCTGAAGATTGCAAAAGTTTAGTCAAACAGTCACGAAACGGAGACTCACATCTTTGGTTAAGAAGCGTTAGGAGAAGTGTCACATCACGAGTTCTTGTCTCGATTTCAGACAAGCCGTCTTCGATCTGTTAGAAGTTGAAGAGAGGGTGGCTTGAAGCTTTTGGCGCGTTGAAGCGCGTGTGGATCACAGTGATGGAGAAACCTCTTGAGTGTAGGATCTTGGCGAGTTGAAACATAGGGCTTATGCAGCCTTGTAAGGGCAATGGAAACAGAATCACTCGTAAGCCATTACTCTTCTCCATTGAAGCTTTCTCCTTCTTTCTTCCTGATATTTTAGTGAATGCTACATTTGAGATCAGAAACTAATAATATTTTTTTCGTTACGTGGAGAGAGGTGACAAAACTCTACTCTTCTCGATGTGGTAATAATGATAAACAAAAACCTAGTGGTCTAATTTTTATCAATTTTGTGATCCAAAACGTTTGTGATATGTACAATATTTTTCTTATTTTATGGAAGATTATCAATCATTCACGTGATTTGTTTCCCTGTCAAGTTCATTAAGTCCAAAGATTCCCCTATGCATTTCTTAGCGAATGTGTATATTTCAACCACATAACTAGCAAAAGCTGCAAAACAGAGCAAAGTGTTTTTTCTCTTAAATAGTTTACAATGCTAAAGGGATGAAATACTATCAACTAGCTCACACAAGAGGCAAGCTGTTTTCTAAATTATCATGTAGGAAATTCAGATATATCGATAATATGTATTTTTTTTTGCATTGGTCAATAGGCCGTGTATAAATAATCAGAAAATGTTTAGTTCATAGGGGAATATGCCATTTTCCTCACAAATATTTGAATAAATAGGGAAAAAGACAAAGTGAAATACAAGAAGATAAAAAGAGGACATATCAGTCTTGTTTTTATGGCTTAGTTTTAGTCCAACAATGCCAAACACATATCTTCAAAATACCAACAATTTATTAGCTGAAAACCTCACAAAGAAACCAAATTACGAATATATAGCTAGAAAGATGATATATGATCAACCAAATGTTCTAAAGATCGATATGCCGAACCGTTTGGTTTAATTGATCCTCCTACTTTCTCCTTAAGAAGTTCCATTCTTTCTCGGATTGCTTCTCCTTCAGTTTCCAGCAACAATCTCCTTACCGCGTTCTCGATCTCATTTCTCTCGATCCGATTCTCTAGATGCAGTCCGACCATCCATACCTCGCTAACAAATCTCGCGTTTAGCATTTGGTCCCAGTAAAATGGCAAACAGATCATAGGGACGCCTTCACAAATACTCTCAACCGTCGAGTTCCAACCATTGTGTGTCAAGTATCCTCCAATGGCTCGATGCTTTAGAACGTCTAGTTGCGGAGCCCATTTCACAATCTTTCCCTTCTCAGTAAGCATTTCCATGACTTCTTCAGGTATCTCCTCGATCCATTTTGTTCCATTGACCGAACCAACCCGTACCACCCACAAGAAAGGTCGGTCGCTGTTTATTAGACCCCAAGCAATCTCCAATAACTCCGATTCTCTGATGGTGACGAGGCTCCCGAAACTCGCGTAAATCACGGATTTGTCTTCTTGTCTATCCAACCAAGGAATGCAAGTCTCATCTGGTGTTAGTAAGCTACTAGACGAACCCGTAAAGCGGGTATGAGAAGGTCCTATCGCAAAGATTGGGACTTGAAACTCTTGACGTGCTTGAGTCAGTGAGTCTTGGTCCAACTCTTCACAGGACGACCCGAATATGAGACCTGAAGACGCTTTAGCCGTTTCGTAAATCCGATTCAAGTAGTCATCAAGTATCTCCGTTTTTTCAGCAAGAAGCCGGTAGATATCTTTCTTTCGATGCGGCAGAAACTCCTTAACTTGTTCTGAATCTGTGCAAAAACAAAATGGTACCCAAACCAACATTTAAACTTTATCTAATCAAGAATTTCCATAATATTTCATTATTTTGTGACCCGAATATCCTATTCTCTATCAATTTTTCTCTTAATTAGTAAAACTAAACCACTTGTACTAAGCTAGATAGAACAAAGAATACTGATGAATCATACATGAATAAGTACTAGTTTTGATCGTTTCAAATGATGGTGACAATAAAAACTGGCCCTATAAGTCAGTTCTAAGTGGCGGACCGATTTTGAT